CTGCAGCTTTCCATCTCAGACCTGTTAAGCTTCGTCTTTGCTGCTGTGCTTTGACAGTTGTACCAGTATTAGTAAGCGCTCTAAGAAAGAGAACTATAAAGCTCAGTTTCACTTCAGTTTGCAGTCAGAACTATTTGCTTCATTGCTTGTATGCAGGGGGGTGGAGAGTAATTGTATCGCTCCTCATCTGGAAAAACAAACTCACCACATCAGGGTACAAGAATTCTTTTGGCTGAAAAAGGAAGATTGCAAGTGGACTCGGTGCAAGTTTTCTTTACCCCAAAGGAGTTCTTCGAGATGCACAGTGAGCCCAGAGGACACCAGTGGATACACAGGCGTAGTGCATGGAGAGCTGCACTGTAAGGACAGTTATACAAAGAGAGGTGGGGCTCTGGTGCAAACTGCCCGGTCATGTTGTCGAAACAGATCCCTGGTGAAGCTAGATCCCCGGATCAATTGATTGGATCTACATTGTGAGATAATGTACTGTGTAAAGGCAATCCGATTAACACGTGCCTTTTGAAGATTTTGAGCTTATGGGTTTTGTCTAGCTTATATTTTAGTCAAAATAGTGAAAAAGGTTATACTTTTACCTTCTAATCTAGAACTTCCCTCCACTGTTTTTGCTGTGAAGGAAAATTCAGTAAAAAGTGGGACGAGAAAGATAATCACATCCAAAAAGAGGGAATGTGGAGCACTAAACTTTTACCCTGGTCTTATTGGGCTGTACTGTGCTTTTACCCTGATCTCACTGGGCTTTACGGCACTGTAATGCGCTTTTACCCTGATCTCACTGGGCTTTATGCCACTATACTTTACTTTTACCCTCATATACCACAGTAAGCAGACTGCAGACCAAAAAAAACTATATTGGGTTAACTGAACTGTAACATAAAAAGAACTAGCCTGCAGTTGTCTTGCTGTCTGATGGTAGTCAATGTTCCTTTCAAGGGTCACCCTCTGACACACCCCCTTTCTCAAAAAGAGATGTAGTCACTCAAGCACAAAGCTCCCACCCATCTTCCACACACCCACCGAACAATGCTGATCTCACGCTCTCTGCTTGTCTTAAAGGCCATCTTGTCCTCCCACCCGTGAGAGGGTGTCTGTCTGATGCCCTGTCCCGCTGTGCCCAGGCCCGGCTTGTTGTCTGCGTGGTGCTCCGCTCCCCTTGGCGCTGTCGGCTGGGCGGTCCCAGCCCAGGGGAGGGGCAGCTGCCTTGTGCAGGGCCGTGATAAATGAGGGAGAGCTGCTCTCCCCTCTGCCTCCCTTCCTTTTCGTCTGTAACCCTATACCCCAGCCCCGCTGTCCTGAGTCTAAGAATAGAGGCCCTGCTCCCTCACTCTCGCAGCTCTCCTCCTGCTCTCTGCAGCCCACAGCACGGGGCTGCTCTCGCGTCCCCTCGGCCTCTCTGTCGGGCCCTGCGTGTGGAGGCGGCAGCCCGCCGAGGTCCTGGCGACAGGCACAGCAGCGCAGGTTGGCAGCAGTAGGTGCGTTCGTGCAGCTTAGTGTTCAGTTGTTGAGCGCCGGTGTGTTCAGTGAGCTTGGTGTCCACGAGCTCGGCGGGAAGATGCTGGGCTGCAGTGTGTTCAGTAGCCGAGGGTCAGGGTTGAGCTGCAGGGTGCAGGGGAGTTCAGTGCCGGGGTGCAGTGTGTTGGGGAGTTCAGCGTTGGGGTACTAGGAGGCAGTGTTGGGGTGCAGCGTGTTGGGGAGCTCAGTGTCAAGGTGTTCGTCGGCAGTGTGTTGGGGAGCTCGGTGCCGGGGTGCAGTGTGTAGGGGTGCAGTTGTTCAGAAGGCCCAAGCCTTGTTCTGAAACAAGGTGCCTCTCTTCTACCCTGCAGACAGTGGCCTCTTGCCCAGGAAGGTGCGGTGTGCCAGAGCGAGCCTGATCCCAGCCCGCCGCCAGGATGTCCTCCAAGAGCAAGGAGAACTACCGCGACATCGATGAGGATGCCATCCTCAAGGGCCTCAGTGCCGAGGAACTGGAGCAGCTGGAGTGTGAGCTGCAAGAGATGGACCCTGAGGTGAGAATCCCATCAAACCCATCAACTCCTGCGGCTGTATCACCCTGCAACTCCCAGCTGGCAGCCCGCTGAAGCTCAGCAGGTGTCAGCCTGGCCAACATCTGGACGGGAGACCTCTTGGGAAGGTTGCTGCTGGAAGAGGTGTTAGTGGTGACCAGTAGGAGGCGCTCACCCTGCAGTCTGGTTGGGTCCTAATGCCCCAATATAGTGATGGGGGCACTATATTATAAAAAAGGTGCCGGCCTTCAGATGAAGAGTAAAACCAAGGTCCTGTCTTTCTCTGGTCATTAAAAATCCCAGGGAGTTTCTCAAAAGGCTTAGGAGTGTTACCCCAGTGTCCTGGCCAAATTTCCCCCTGGACTTTACCAGTCATGGCCTCTTGATAATGCCCATCTCTGAACTGGCTTCATCACTCTGTTCTCCTCCCCACTGGGGATGCGGATTGACACTTTGGCTGCCGTAGCATTATCCAGGTGGGGGTTACACATTGGTGGTGGCAGTGGGATTCCACATTATGTTCCGAGTTGGAGTGTCCAGAAAAGAGCTATATAAGGATAATTATTATTGTTCTTATCAATAGATGATCACTCAGTTAGGACACTTGATCTTGATACCCTGCAAGCCAAAAGCTGTGTTCCATCTTACTCCAAGAGCGCTGCCGAGAAATCCCTGGATTTGTGCAGATCTCCAGCGTTTTGTAAGACACTCCCTGTTTTTCTCCTTTCCAAAGAACGCCATGTTGCCGGCGGGCATGCGCCAGCGCGACCAGACCAAGAAAAGCCCCACGGGACCCTTCAACCGTGATGCCCTGCTGGAGCACCTGGAGAAGCAGGCCCTGGAGCTGGCCGACCGCGAGGACCTGGTGCCTTTCACCGGAGAGAAGAAAGGTGAGTCTCCTGCCGACTCCCCCCCCCCACAGCACTGCGCGCAACGGGCCACCTGCCCTCCCAGACTGTCTCTCCTGGATGCCACGCGGGTAGCGGTTTGTTAGTTGTACCTAGCCTGTATGCGGTTGGCCCAGTGCACACAAGAGCCCGCCCCTGTGATTGCAGACGCAGGCTGTGATTGGCTACCGTACCACTTCAGCACCAAAACGGGTTATTAAGATCCAGGAACCGCTCTGCGGACTCTGCAGAACTGGGTGGACGGTGATGCATGCAGGCCTTCCTCTCGGCTACACCTCTGTCTCGCCCACAAGGCCTCCTGTCCCCGTCGATGCAATGATGTGTCGAAAGAGTCTTGTTTCCGTTCCTGGAAATTTCGGATTGCCAGTATTTTTAGGCTGCTGGGATTCCAGAGGTTTATTTCCTTGTGCAAGCAGGAGAACCATGGTGACGCTGTAGTATTACAGCACTAGGTTTTCTGGGTTTGATTACTGGCTGAGACTCCTGTCTGTGTGGAGTTTGAATGTTGCCCCAAAGGTTACACGGGCCTTGGTCATGTCAGTCTTTTCCCCAAGACATGCATGCTGGGTTTCTTAGACTGCTTTAAATTGCCCTCCCTACCTCTCATAGTTTATTCTAATAATAACAGTACACCCCCCTAATGCCCGTTTTATTACTCTGCCCATGAGTGGAGAATCTTTGGCATTACTGGCTATGAGGCAGCATGATTTGAGATTTTGGTGCTGATTATTTTATTTCCCCAATTTATCATCCCTGATGAGAGCAGAATCATTTTTGTGCGATGCAGACAGAGAGGCACGTTATTCCACAAAGCCGGGTGCGACAGTTTTCTTTTTCTGGGTATTGATCCAGGCAGCATTGTATCATTTTAAAGCTTTCTCCATTTGACTCTGCAGTTCAGTTCCTCGTGTATGCTAACTGGGCTGTGCGGACTTACGCTGACTTCACTCTGCAGGACCAAGATCGGTCTTGTTTCATCACTGCAGGCTGAACCTAGATGGTCGCTCTTTGTGCAGAAGTGTTGCTCTCATTAAAATGGGGTCTATATTTAGGCCTTTTATTTATGTGTGTGTGTGGGAGGTTGTCGTGATAATTGGAATACCATGGTGATTTTATTTCTTGAGAGCGGGTCTGAAATTTGTCAGCTCAGTGAGTTTTGGCACCCCACAACCCCCCGCCCCCACCCACAGGCAATTATAGATTCCCTCCCACCTTCCCTGATTTTCATCTCCGTGCCTCACTCCACACATGAGCTCAGCTGTAATTAGGAAAAGATGTTTGGCACTCTGCTCTGCTCTCCTGCGAGGGATTCGGTGTTAGTTACCAGGATCGTGGAGCGTTACTTGGTAATCGGTAGAATCAAGTAGAAAAATGATCTGGAACAAACAATTTGCCTGAAGTCTCCTGATCCACAGATTGGAAACACAGCACCTTCCTCTGTGATGATCGGTGGAAAAAAACTGTTTCCTGCTGCCGAGCATAAACTAATAATTGTTTATCAAGGGGGCAGATGCTCAGATTACGTAGGAGTTATATTTCAGCTTCTTTTTGTGCACAAAATCCTGCTGATGCAGCAGAAAAGTATTGTGTGCGACATTGCTTTAGTCATTTAGGTCACAGACCCCCTGCAGTGAGCTTGGGATGGCTGGCGAAACGAAGGGGGCTTTCGGGGATTGATTTCCTGCCGAGTCCCCTTGCTGCCGGGCCTGAATCCGAAATGTCTGCCTTGACTCCCCAGGGAAGCCCTTCATTCCCAAGCAGTCGAAGAGAGAGATCCCGCGGGAGGAGCAGATCACCCTGGAGCCGGAGCTGGAGGAGGCCCTGGCCAACGCCACCGACGCCGAGATGTGCGACATCGCAGGTGGGCAGGGGGGGCGCGGGGCTATGCTTTGGCGGATGGAGTCAGAAAATATACTGTATACCCCCATGACATCTCTGCTGTGCATATTAAATCCTTTTTTACTCTGGTGTATTGGCAAACCATAAATAACACCATTGAAACACAGGTTCAAAAGCTTGCTGTGACATTAGTTGACCTGTTCTCGAACCCGGGACCACTTCAAAGGCGTAACAGGGCAGCCCACAGGGTCCATTGGCTAGAAATGACTTGAAGAATTCAACCCAAACCCTTGAGATTTCACTTGGAAATTTGTGCGGCACAATGCAGCAGCACGTTGTCTTGGAAAACTGAACTGACGCCTGATGTTCGGAATGATTCATGCCCGCTGGGATATCAGGATGTCGGCTCCCATGTTGTTCCTACACGTGAGCTTGTGCAGTTCTCTCCATATGGATTTTGTACATTGACAGAATTGCGTTATTTGTTACCAGTGTCTTTCTTTTACTTAATGTATTGCTTTAAAATGCCTGCTTCCTTTCAGAAGAGTTTTTGTGGGTTTGAGAATAGTAATAATTCCTTACACTTGTATAGTGCCTTTCTGGAAACTCCATTCAAAGCACTTGACATGTAGTGGGGACTCCCCTTCACCACCACCAGTGCGTAGCCCCGCCAGTATGATCTAACGACAGCCAGAGTGCAGCAGTACTCTCCCCACACACCAGCTCTCAGTGGGGAGCCTGACTCTGTCGTCGCGCTGACAGTGATGATGCCCGCCCGCAGGCGCGGACCCCTGGCCGCTTCGGGGGGTCTCCAATTCCCACAGCTCAGCAGCTAGCTGAGCGCACCTGGCGCCCAGCCGAGGGGCTGCGCCTGCTGGGAGAGGAGGGGGCGCTGGGGGATCCACTTACACCCCACAAGCCCTCAGAAGTGGGCAGGTGGGCTTTTTTTAAATGGTCTGTCTCCGAACCCGCTCCTCCTCCTTCCCTTTTCCCCCCCATCTGTCTTTCTCGGATCTGACCCACCTGCATGCTCAGGAGCGCCCCCCTCTGCACGCAGCTGTTCACAGGTAATTTGATGAAGAGAAAAAAAAACAAGTTCATGAAAGGAGCAAAGCTGTGTCCAGTCCCATAGCGGCCAAGTGTAAGACGCAAAGTGAGAAGGGTCTCCTTCAGGTGCTCAATTTCCTCTCTCTCTCTCCTTTGCTACATCCTCCCCTCCCCTGTTTTTCTCTCTCTCCTGTGTCGGCTGCCTTTGCACCACCAGCCCCTCCTCTCTCCTGACAAGCACCCATTGGGAACCCCAGTTTTGGCCAAAGACTTCAGCAGAGAACCCCAGGGGTATTGCAGTTTTGTAGGCGCCCCTTAAGATTACTGAGAAACGCGCTATCGATCCATTAAGTCATTCAGAGCTCAGCTGGAACAAAAAGCACATGGCACTTTGTCAGCTCTCCAGGTCTCCTGATACAAGACTGTGCAAAGGCTAATTGATCCTGAATGCCCTGTTTTTGGCAGCAAGGAATGTATTGGGATAGCATTAGTGCCCAGTGGCTCCAGATGATAATGGATGCAAGATTGAATTTGCAGGAAATCAAAGTAATATGATGGGTGTTAGTGCGGCGTGTTTGTTTGGTTGGAGATTTTAAGAACAGGATTGTGTGCCAATTAAGGACTTTGCATTCTTTCTTTGATGGCATGCTTAGACATGCAGTGAAATCACTGCTGAACTGCAAGTGCATCAAAGTGTGTTTGTGGTTTCTGAAATACTCTGTGATGCCTGGTGCAATCCGGTCTGCTCACAAAGTAGAATTCTTCCAAACCCGGGGCAAAGGAGAGCACATTGTCTGCTGCAGATTGTGATTGAGAAAACCCACGTGCATCTGAAGAAAATGCGAATTCACGGTTTTTGGCTTGTGATTTCTATGCTTCCTGCATTACAGACAGATGTGCTCTGTTTCAGTCTCTGTCAGAGCAGGGGTGTCCAGTTCTGGTCCTGGAAGGCATGTCAGTATATCTGTAGGTTTTCAAGGTCTCAGTAACCTGACAGTAACCTGGTTTAGCTGGTTAAGAGGGCAGTTGGACTGAAAACCTGTGGACACATCTGCCCTCTGGGAGCAAGCCTGGACATTCCTGTTGAAGATCAATGGAAAATACTGTGGCCTCAGCACTCCCCTTTTGAAGTTCACAATGTCATTTAAGAGCATTTTGACATGTGATAGTGGCTTGGCCTGGAGAGTGTGTGTGACTGTGTGTGGTGTGTGTGGCCATCTGTAAAACTGTTTCATCCTTGGATATAATAGAGGATAAGACATTGCAAACGAGCAATTTGAGAAACTGTTGATTGTAAAGCCTGGTGTTTCTCAACTTCCTGCAATCTAAAAAGTCATTGTCACAAGGGGTTAAAAGTTAAAAGTCCAGACAGTGTGCACTGGAGTGTACCAGGTGTGTGTTTCATGATCAGCGTGGCCGTGCGGTTAGTGCAGATCAGAGCCTTTCTCTGAACACAACAGGAACAAAAAAATAAGAAGAATTTTTAAAGCACCTATCCAAACCCAAGGATTTTCTATGCAGTGATAAGAGAAAAAGACAAATAATGTACAATAATAAGTATAAGAAAGAAAAAAAAATGAAACTACACATGTACAAAACATACAGGTCCATAGTTAAGAGGTAGGGCAATCGGACATAGGCCCTGGTGAAAATTTGCAATGTAAGGAGAAATCCCTCTCCCACACTACTAAACCCGGTGTTTGATCCTCGTTCCATTGATGCGTAGCCAGCTGCTGCTCATTTTAGGTCGATAAACACTGCTTTCCATTCTCGCCCAAGTCAGTCAAGACCGCTCAAGCGCGTTCAGTGTTTTTTTTAAAAAAAAACTGCAAAGCCCGGAACTGCATAGCTCGTGGCGGGTGTAGCTGGGTCAGAACCACGCACGGCTCAGCCAGAAAAAGCAATGAGGTCATTCGGGGGAATTCGGGAAGGATTCCAACTGGCTGGTGTTTCGCGATCATCTGGGTCCACAAAGGTGTGAAAGAGCTTGCGGTCAGTCTGTATTGCTGCTTTATTAATTCTGGGTTCAGGCTGGAGCTGCATTTAGTGATTTGAGCGATGCATGGAGGGGTAGCTGTGATAGTGTTTGAGGTAAGAACCCAGTTTACCTGCAGGAGGTTCCTGGTTCTGCTACCCATTACGGGTCCTCCTTGTGCTCCTGTCCCGTGGATGAGATACCAAACCGCGGATGTGCTGTCAGTCACTCAGGGGGCAGCGGCTGGTGGTGGTTTCCTATATTTATGTTGGTATTCCCCAATAAGTGTCTTTTGGAGGAGAGTATTTGACAAATGGTCCACTGATTTTTTTATTCCAGTACACCAGCAGCTCCGTGATCGGTCCGTGTCCTGACAGGACTGTAGGATTCAGGATTAGTCAGTGAAGGGCCCCGCATGTCGTTATGGCTTCGGCCTGGAGTCCGTCCCAGGACAGCCTCGGGGCCTCATTAGGCAGGGCGATCCCTTTGTCTTGATTGTGTTTTGGCTCGAGTGACAGCGTAAGCTGGCAGGGGGGAACAAAGAAGTTGTTTGGCTCGGCCGCGTCGGAAAACTCAGTGTTTCTTTCCATGCATCTGTGAGTATGGGAGATTCTAAAGAGATGTTTTGTATGGAGCAAGGTGCACTCTCACACTGACCGGCCTTGAACAGCCAGGCGATTGTCAACACCTCTCCTTCAGTCTGTCTCAGTTTCTCTCCTTGTGTGTCTCTCTCTCCCTGCCTTGCCTGGTTGGAGCGGTTGTTGTGATGCAGTCAGAGGGTCTCCCATTCCTGTCTGCCAAAGTCTAGCCTAATAAGCACTGCTGCCCCCTGCTGCTGGGAAGAGATCATTACGCTGCAAAACAGTCAGATTTATTTTGTGACCCCCTACAAACATCATAAACAACGAAGCCCACCACATTGTTGCGTCTGAGCTGCGTCTGAGCTGCTTTTGTTGCCCAGATATAGCGCCTGGAGAGAGCTATGACCCTGGAGAGGCAGGGGGACTGCAGTGTGAAACAGTGCTGTGGCACGTGTTGATAGTGGTGGTGTTTCGGTCTGTGCTGCTGAGCCACAGACGGAGCCCACTGCACTGCTTGTTCTTAACGTACCGAGCGCTCAGCTTCTGTAATTCCAAAATGGCACTGTGGTGCTCCCGGCAGGTTAGCCTGGAAAGCTGAGCATGTGAAGGCCTGGGTGTCGATATAAGCCGGCACGTTTACGGTATTTTACATAGTTGGAGTCTTGCGTGACCCGGGCAGGGGGGTTTGCTGGAGATGGCCGTCCCCGCAGTGAGCTCATGAAGCGGTATTCCTTGTCTCCCTGTGTTTATCCAGCTATCCTGGGAATGTACACCCTGATGAGCAACAAGCAGTACTACGACGCTCTCTGTTGCGGAAACATCGTCAACACGGAAGGAATCAACAGTGAGTCCTCTGTTAACCCCGAAGCCCTCCTGGTCCTGGAACACTGACTGAAAGACAGGACAATGAACTAGAGAAGAGCCCAGTCCAAATCAGACACAAACATAATTACCCTGGTTTTCCAGGACCAGGGTATTTGATTAACTCTGACTTTGTCATTTTATTTTATCATATATACAGTAAAACTACCGGTAAGAAACAAACAGTGTCCAGAGCAGAGAGGCAGGAAGGCCCTTCTCGAGGCTGAGGGAGAGGAAGTTAGGTGGGGAGCTTACACTTGTCGCACAGTTTTGTTGTCAATAGGCTTGAGAGCATTGTGCAAGACCCAAAACGCTCCCCACCCCCCAGTGCACCGCAGAGCAGAACCAGGCACTTCCTCGGGTTTGTTCTTCACCACGTGTCTGTGACCGCAGGCGTGGTGAAACCCGACAAGTACAAGACATACCCCGACGAGCCCCCAAACCCCACCAACGTGGAGGAGACCCTCAGGAAGATCAAGAGCAACGACCAGAGCCTGACGGACGTCAACCTCAACAACATCAAGGTGGGGGCCGCGGTGCTCCGGGTGTCGGGGAGGCGGGATTTTGGGGGCGAAGTGAAGCTTCTTGTCTTTACGGATCATCGAAGAGCACTATGACCGGTCAGCCAGCAGGTCTTGCTCCTGTCCTGCTCTGACTCCTTGCGTTTTCCCAGTGGTGCAGATTGGGATTACAGGATAGGATGTAGAAAAATCTGTGCCAAGGTTTTCTTAAGGAACTGGGGCACGTGTTACTGTATGTTATTATTGTGTATAAACACATGATGTGTTTTGGGTTGCCACAATGGGCTTGGCCTGAGGAGAGAACATTGCCTTGTGGATGCTGTGAGGTCTGCAGATTTAACAGTGCACATGCGCAGAATTGGGCAGAAAAAGGCAGATCAGCGATAAGAGATTAGGAGTTTTTTTTTATTATTCCGTGATTTCAAATTTCAGTAAGTAAGGAAGGAAACTGTTGTGTGCAGGATATCCCCATCCCCACGCTGAAGGAGATCTTCGAAGGCATGAAGACGAACACCTCGGTCAGGAGCCTGAGCATTGCGGCCACGCGCAGCAACGACCCGGTGGCCTTTGTGAGTAGACGAGAGTCCCCATGGCCATCAACACAGATTGCAACAAGGAAAGTGGAAGAAACACATGTAGCATTTTATCTTCACTGTCTGTCTAGGCAGGGACACACACAAGGCTTGTGTCAGGCGTGAAATGTTCAGAAGCAGACGCTACCTTGCAGCTCGTAATCCGCGGAACAGATCACAGTGCTCTGCGGTGGGGGAGAGAGATGGACTTCTCTGTGTTCAGTCTGTGTACTGGAAGCGTTGCAGAATTTCTGTTGCTGTGCCTGATCAGTGTGTGCGTGTGTGTGTGTGCGTGCAGGCTGCTGCCGAGATGCTGAAAGTGAACAAGAGCCTGCAGAGTCTTAATATCGAGTCGAACTTCATCACGGGGGAGGGCATGATGGCCGTCATGAAGGCCATGCGAGAGAACAGCACGCTGACGGAGATCAAGATCGACAACCAGGTCTGAGCCGCCGCCTTCACGGCGTGAGAAAACTGAGTGGCGTTCTTGATGCCTGAAGGACAGGGGTTGGTTACTCATCATAATAGTAATTCCTTACACTAATGTAGCGCTTTTCTGGACACTCCACTCAAAACACTTTACAGGTCATGGGGATCCCCTCCACCACCACTAGCGTGCAGCCCCACCTGGATGATGCACCAGTCCGCTCAACACACACCGGCTCTCAGTGGGGAGGAGAGCAGAGTGATGAAGCCAGTTCAGAGACGGGGATTATTAGGAGGCCCTGACTGGTAAAGGCCCTGGGGGAAATTTGGCCAGGACACTGGAGTAACACCCCTAATCTTTTTGAGAAACACCCTGGGGTTTTTAATGACCACAGAAAGTCAGGACCTCGGTTTTAAGTCTCCTCTGAAGGATGACAACTTTTTTACAGTATAGTGTCCCGGTCACTATACTGGGGCATTAGGACCCACACAGACCTCAGGGTGAGCGACCCCTACTGTTCCTACTAACACCTCTTCCACCAGCAAACCTTAGCTTTCCCAGGAGACTCCTATCCAGGTACTGACCAGGCTCACACCTGCAGAGCTTACTCTTATCTGTAAGATGCATGTAACCCCACACATTAAATAACTGCTGAGCACTCCATTGTAAAGCCTTATAAGGTCCACCACATTCCCTCTGGTCTATACTGATATCCTGTGTCATTCCTTTGCTTTATTGCATTCTGGGAAACAACGTTGAATTAAAACTAAAAAAAAAATCAATCAGGAGCCTAGAGATCGCTCAGTGGGGTGTAGCATGGATGCTGTCACTCTTAGGGCCCTGTGTGCTAAGGAAGTGTTTGGCATTATTGTTCAAAGTTCCAGGATGTTGTGTCCGGCTGGCTTGATTAGATTAATGTGAGCTGTTTGTTCCCAGCGCTTAGACATGTTGGAGTTGTAGCCATTGTGTTTTGTAAGTGAAATAAAATCCCAGACTTTTGACTACAAACAATAATGCACGTATTCCAGTGAAGCTACTTCTTAAATCTGTGAAGACTGCGGTTATCTAATGAAGGGGGGCAGGAATGAAAACCAGCAGGTGTGGGGGGTCACCAGGGCCAGGACTGGGTATTCTGAACAACAGTGCTGTTGCTGACCCGACCCGGCCTGACCTCTGACCCCGCGGGCCTGCCCTTTCCAATGCAGAGGCACTCCCTTGGGGACTCGGTGGAGATGGAGATTGCCGCCATGCTGGAGAGCAACCCCTCCATCGTGAAGATCGGGTACCACTTCACCCAGCAGGGGCCCCGCGCCCGCGCCGCCATCGCCATCACCAAGAACAACGACTTCCGTGCGTACTGAGATGCGCCCGGTGGGGGGGGGGCGGGGTTGACGCCAGCCCCAGCCTCGGGTTTCTCATCGCGCCTTCTCTCTTTCTCGTTGCAGTCCGCCAGCAGAGAGTCAGATGAGAGCGCCCCGGAGGGGGTGAAGGACAGGGGGCGCCGCTCGTTCAGGGACTGTGACGTCACCCCCGGGCCTTCCCATAACCCCCCTCTCGCCCCGGGACTTCCCGCTGCGAAGATCCAGGAGCGGATCGAGTGCCCCCCAGCGGTCTGTGATGTACTAGCGCCCCCCTCTTCACTGTCTTCTTCCGCTTTCTTTTCCTTTGCTGAGGAATTAAATTCCCAAATATCGGGGTCGCTTCCCTAGAGGCCTTCGTCTTCCTTCCCGTTTCTGGTTTCGGCCCGCTCTGCGTCCCTCTGTGAAAATCCTTAGACGTCCCGGCTGATGCTGACATCGGCATGCCGTGATCCGAGCTCGGACTCCTCGATGCCCCGCGGGCTGGCGAAGAGCTGAAGTTCAGGCCGTGATTGATGGATCCAATTAGGTCAGTAAGAGCTCAGGAAGAAAAGCAGGAAAGCCCTGCGGCTTTCCAGGTCCAGGAAGGAGGATCACGGTCCTAGAAAGGTCGCCTTTCGGAGGATCGGATGCCGAAAGGCATATCTGTGGCTCCCAGTAGGAGAGTCCACCGGACAGCTTCACAGGACGAACGGGATGAGGTCCCTCGGAATTGGGCACTTCCATGGAACGTCAGCCAAGAAAAGTCCGCCTCTGCTAGCCTTCCAGCTCGTTTAGGGTTTGAGGACGTTGAGGAAGCTGGGGCAAAACAGCTTTTACAAACACTGGCAGGAGTCGAAGGGAAGGTTCAGGCCGCAAGCTGCTTTCTGCGGTAAGCTGTCCTGCAGAATCCCTGGTGCAGTATGGGAGTTTTGAGAGTTGCCAATCACAGCACAGCCAAACTGGGGGATAAGAGAAGGCACTGGAGAACTCCCCGGATCTGCTCTAAGGAGGTGTGGCAGTGATCCCCACGATGGCCACAGAGCTCACTAATCAATCGAGACTTGTGTTTAAATATCTTCATCTCTTATGCTGTATAGAAATGCAAGCAGCGAATCTTTAAGTGAGAAACCGTGTGAACTTTGGCTTGTTCTTACTTCATTGCCCTGGTGTCGCGGACAGCAGAGCCTACGTCATTCACCAGAGATGCCATCATTCCAGCAGAAGGCAGTGGCGCAGGCCTGACAAAACGAAGCCTTAGCAAAAGAAAATGAATTAACGGAGAAGCAGCTTTTTGCAGCGCGTTTGACGCAATTTACCAAGCCTCCCGTGACGCAGGCAGCCCTTAACAAAAGCAAGTTTCAAGTTGTTTGACTTTAAGTACGCAATAAGTGTAAATAGTATGAATAAAACTCAATTTAAATTCTTCCACTTGTCTGTTTCCAGCTTCCTGCTTGTCTAAACTGTGCACGACAGGCTTGCGCATCGAGGGGAATAGATCCGTCTTTTCCTTTTCCCAGAGTGTGTGTGTGTGTGTGTGTGTGGGGCTCACTCCTTTAGTCAGTGCCAGCTGCGCGCTGGGGAACAGGCGCTCATGGGGCTTCGGCAGGTGACTGAGCACGTGGCACAATTCCAGCAGATTTCTTTTCTGTCCAAGTTTAGAACAGAAGGAAAGGTCTCACACAAGGGGGCTAGATCCCCCAGCTCTCGGGATCCAAGGATTATGTGTCCGAGCCGTTCCTTGAAAGAAGCCGGCTTGCTCGGGGAGGTCTGAGGACTGCAGGGTGGCCCCGGCTCTGTGGGGGTCCTGCCCTGTGCAAGATCTGATTTCTCAGATTAGTTCGCCGAAATGAGTTCAGTTTCTGTTTACTCACACAGGTTTCCTCTTCAGCTGTTTGTGACTTAGGAGACCTAGAACGCCTGTTATGGTGCATCTCCTGAGGAGCAGCCTTTCAGGGGCAGAGGGGGAGGTCAGAACCGGCAGGGGGAAAAACAAGAGGGCGAAAGGCAGCGAGGCTTAGGCCCAGCATGCTCCCCCTGAATGTGATGCAGGTAAGGGGCTGGGCAGGGTGCTCTGCAGTGTGGACGGAGTTTAGGGGCCTGTGCAAGTGGCAGGTGGCTTTTATGTCATTTCTGCACGGGGTGATTCAGCCCATGCAGGAATGGTGTCGGGGTCTGTTCTCCACCTGTGTTATTTATACCTTCAGACCCGGGTGGCAGGGTGACTGTATCCCGCCGGGATTGGGTTACAGAGTGCTCAAAATACATGCAGTTTTTAAGGGGAGCTGGGAAGTGTGTGTGTGGGGGGGGGTGAGTTTGAGACCAGTCACAGAGGCTGATTTACGTCGCTGAACTCGGCGACAGCTGCTGCACTCTTAGGATTCTGCTGCTCCGAGAAAGTCCCCAGATGCCTCTGACAGCCGACTCCACTTTCCTTTAATCCACCAAGGCCAGAAGTGAGACCGGGGCCTGAATTAGGAGAAGACTCGCTGGCAGGGGGTTGTGTTTGGTTGCGGGGAGGGGCTATGCTATAGGAGCTGGCCTCCTGGATCGGTCTTGGGAAGGGGAGTTGCGCTGTGATGCTGTGCTCAAACCTTTTTAGGTTTCGGACCCCCGAAGCTTTCCCAGCTGTGACAGTTGTTTGTCAGCGGGGAAGCCTGTGTTCGGAAGCCATTCCCCCCCCCCATACGAGGAGCAAAGACCAACTAGAGCTGCTCCCCTTTCCCTGAGCACACTAAGACCGGTTCTTGACCCCTGACCTCGGAGATGCCCCCCCCAACCGCTCGCCTGATGTGCACGGATATGGACAACACATGGCAATAGACTAAGATGAAAATTCACATGGGATGAATTAAGATTTGAGTAGTGGGATTGTGAATACGGGTACATGTTTGAGCCAAAAGGATTATCCTGGGATTATCTGGGCAGGATGCAGGAACTGGATCTCTTTAGTCTGGGCTCAGCGTGTTCCTCAGCTCGGGCAGAAACGCACAGCTGCTGTGATGGAGACAAGCAGCTCCTCTCAGTCCTGCTGCTGCTGCTGCTCTGGCATGTTGATGCAGAAGCAGAGGTCAGTTTTCAAGAGCCCAACGTTTGAACAGCGGGTTATTTATATTAACGAGATGCATTTGTGAACCTTCAGGTGGCTACACATCACACCATTTGAATTTCTCTTACAACAGCATCAGCAGTTATGCATCAGTGGGGGGGGAAAACAGCTTCTCTTTCTGATTTTAATAGGCATAAGTTACAAAATGACAAAAAAGATTGACACAACATCTTAAGTTCTCCCCAGAGAGCGTGTGAGAGATCTGACCATTAAAAGGTCTTCAATCACTTCTTTATAATTACATTTTGTCCTCCACCTACAGCAGTTCATGCTTTTGCCGTTCAAAAATGGCGTCGCTGTACAAATGTTCTCTGAAACAGTTCAAATGCTCTTCCTGTTCTGGGACAGGTGGAGTCAGGAGGGGGAGAGGGTGGGGGGCTGGTCCTCGTCGGAGTCGAATTCCACGTTCTCATCCTTCACCCAGTTTCCACTTCGGTCCTGCAGCCACCCGGAGCTGCAAGGAAGGACAGACAGAGGAAGGAGAGGCAGGCTGACACCTAGTGGGGAAACGGAGAACTGCAGCTTTCGGGGTCATTCACAGCAATGGCGTTAGATGCGTTAAGTAAGTTACGAAGACGGCAGGCATTCGGGGGTCGCTGTATCAGTGGGAGGATCTTCTTCTCCAGCCCCATTGCCTTGCCATCTGCTTTGACGTTTCCCCCCTCGCTCTTCTTTTGCAGGATGAGTAAGTCAGTGTCTGGGAAATGATACCAGCCAAGGGCCCAGAAAATAGGGCGGATGCCTTTTCTAGGCCACCTCCTGTAGGTTCGCACAAGTGGAAGGTTACCTTTTCAGCCTGAGGTAGTGCTCCATCTCTTGGCGCCTCTGTGCCGCCCCGGGATCTGACTCGGAAGCCGCCGCAGGCCGGGACCTCTTTCTCGTGCTCTCCTTCGCTCGCTCGGGGACGCCCTCTCTCGGGATCTCTGGGGAAGGTAAGAGAGCAGGGAGTTACAGCAGGGCCCTGTAATAGTGTGTAATAGCGTGAAGCAGGGCCGAACACAATAAGATTTCAAATTAGGCTTTGTATTTGCCTTATGATGTAAACTTATCTTTCAGGTCTTAGAAGGCCATGAGAGTAGCCATAAACTATATCCGGTGCCTTACAGAGATGTGCTATCATAGGAACACAGACAGGAAACGCATATGCTGCATTTAAAACTGCCATTCCTTCAGGTGAATATGTTTACGAGCTATGCACATGATTGAGCACCTAGTGCACTGTTGCTATGGTGTCCAGGAAGTGAGGTCACTGGTGTGGTGTCAGCCGTTGATGTCCCCCCTGACTGAGCTTGCAACATTTGGTTCCTGGGAACAGGGGTCCTGCTGGGTGAGGGACAGCTGGAGCTTGATTCAGACCTGCTGCTGTAAGAAAAACACACATTTCTCTCTCAGCTGTTTGGCAAGAGCTCAAATGAAAGCCAAGGAGAAGCCTAGTATTTTTGCAATGCATTTTAATGTATACTTTATACTTCAAATGAAAACCCTTCCACAGCAGGGCAGACAGGGCTCCAAGCTTTCTGACCATTTTATTGTTGAAGGTTTTTACAGACAATACCAGTTACCTTCTCTTCTGGTGGCAGCTGTTGTAGGGGGTGGACTTCAGCAAGGCGTGATGGGTAATCTTGCGTGTCTGGGCCAGCAGAGGAGCTGGACCAACTGTCTCCTTCAGGGCAACGACAGGGCAAGAGGAGAAGAGAAACGTAAACTCATCGTCCTCCAGAGTCAACGTACCTGCTCAGGCATGGAGGTTCGTACGCCTGACAGCTGCACGAGCTTGCTCAGGCGAAGGGGCTTGGACTGGTCCTGGAGTCAAGTCCCCAGCTAAGGGAAGAGGACCGACATTTCAGTCGCGGAAATCTCGTAGTTGTGAACAATCAGCCTGGGGCACTTGCAGTATAAAACACTTCTAGGGTTCTGTGACTCTCTATAGCAGCCAGCCAGGGCCTTCCCTTACTGCGCCCCAGAGCTCTGGAGCTCCTTCCCCAAGCATCCCAGAGTCCTCTTCCCCGAGCACTTCCAAATCCAGACTCAAAATCTTCTTCCCCGGAAAGCTGATTGTTTTCTATTTAATCGGCATCTGTGTCTGCTCCTTGCACCTTCTCCTGCTAATCCCTTGTGCTTCTTCTTGTTACTTCTGTAATCTCCTGTCTTTTACTGCTCTCTTTTGTTTGAACTCTTCTTTTCCTGTAAGGAGTTCTGAGCAGCCTACTTTTAAACGCGCTCTATAAAACAGTGTTTATCATGATGATAATAAGTAGCAGAAAATGACATATGAATAGGATTCTGGTTGTTCTTCTATCCTACAGCTTCAGTTAAAGGGGGACTAAGGATATGTGAGACTTCCAGGTGGTCGTCTGATTACACAGCAGCTTGAGCTCACCTGCCTGCCCGCTTCCTCCTGGCGCACGTAGGCCAGGTGGCGCCGCTTCTCGATCTCGTTCTGCAGCTCCCGCTTCTTCCTGTAGGACCACTGGAGCCCTGCCGAGACACGGGGCAGGAGACGCGTCCCTCAGAGCACCTGGGCCACAGGACCCCCCTGCGCTCGGAGGGAGGAGCCCCCCGCAATTTAAGATCTTCAATAAGGCTTCTTGACTTGAAATGGGGGTGGAGGGGGTCACGGCTCACCAGGGTTTTCCCAGGCGACCTCATCAGCACTCACTCGCTGGAATAATAATAATAATAGTCCTGGCGCTTCTATAGCGCTTTTCTGGACACTCCACTCAAAGCACTTTACAGGTAATGGGGATCCCCTCCACCACCAGCAGTGTGCAGCCCCACCTGGATGATGCGCCAGTCCTCTCCCCACACACCAGCTCTCAGTGGGGAGGAGAGCAGAGTGATGAAGCCAGTTCATAGATGGGGATTATTAGGAAGTCATGAGGGTTAAAGGCCAGGGGGGAAATTTGGCCAGGACACCAGGGTTAACATCCCTAGTCTTCTAGAGAAACGATCTCTCCCGGGTCAGCTCCCAGACTGGAGTGCAGTCCTGCATGCGGCCGGTACCCGGTCTGGAACAGGCGAGACCTACCCTCCAGGTGTCTCTTCCCTTTCCTGTGGACGGCCAGCATGTCCACGGTGTCGAACACGGGCCGGGACGAGCACACTAAACAGGCGTACCTGCGGAGGAGAGCACAGGGGCGGAGAGGGAGGGCGCCTAGAGGCTAGATTCCCGATCCCATACTGCCTTGAAGGGAGAGATAAAGGAGTCTTCATCTGCAGTGTATCATCTTCCAAACAATAAATGCACTCATTCTTTGGGGGGCGGGGGTCTAAGGTAATTGCAAGCATCAATTTGATGCCACAGCCCAGAAGTTTCAGATGGCTTTATAGCCAGTGTGGAGAACACATCCTACATCGACTTGGACACATTTTAGGCTGAGCCGTGGGGGGGGTAATTTGCTTAGGGCGGCGCTATGCAAAGGTGGGATTACCTTCCGTTCTTCATCAGGACGGCCTCGTCCTCGGGAATGAAGTTGGACAGGAGATCAGCGACGCGTCGTTTCTGCCAGTGAGAAGAGAGGCTCAATGGGAATGAACCAGCCTGCCTAATTGAAAGGGCCTTTCAGATGAATCCCTGAATTACACATCTCTTCATCAAGACGCAAAAGCAGGCAAAGACACTCTGGGCACAAAGTTAAGATCCCCTTTAGAGCTACTTTTCGGAGAGAAATAGCTAGCTTCGTTCAGCTGCACCTTTACTATGTTTGCATCGGCCTTTTCGAAAGCACAAGTAGAAAACACTGGAAATATTAAATAACAAAACATACCTTGAGGACATTCAGTTGACTAGCGTCATCCCCTTCCCTTTTAAAAGACATTATTACAAGAACACCAGAAAAGTACTCAGCCTTGCTTTTCGTTCATCGGACAAACATCACTTCCGCCAGCTGAATGATGGGACTTGTAGTTTTTCAAGTGTTAATGGCTATCGAGTGGGTGCTGGGAGTCCTACTTATTTGTGAAACCTCTGACTGGGACAGCATAAATACAACTGCAAGTCTTGTTATTGTAAAAGTAATAATTAATTAATGCAAATTATGGGGCGAGGGATGTACCCTACTTATAGAATCGTCCCGCTTGTTTCTCTATGCACACTCCAGTTCCCATGGGACTGTGGGGCCTCGCCTTTCCCAACATTCCTAGCTTACACGCCCAATAGAACTATGGAAATTGTAGTTTTTTAAGTCATGTCTATCTCGTTGTTCCAACGACTCTCCGAATTAGGCAGAACTACAACTCCTAGGGTACTTTCATTTCGAGTACGATTGTATGTAGTAAAAAGCTTGGCGTTGAGGACGTTATGTTATAATTTAAGGTTTCCGTCACTATGATGAAACGGGTTTTTTAAACAAAATGCGCTACAAAAAACACGGGAAAGACAGTGACAAGAAAATGCACACGCGAGAATGTTCAACGAACAGAAACAGAAAACGTGTTCGAGTAACTCATTTTTAGACTTGCTTTGGTACTGATATTTTATTTTTGACAGTTCCAGGGACCTCGTTCGCGATTGTTACGGGTTCTATTTCAGGCGTTTTAATTTAGAGGAATTTATAGCTAGACGCATAAATAACAGGTACGTTGTATTTATTTTAGCCACAGTACAAGTAGCTTTTACTCCAGCGTCGATACACTGTACTGTACATCCGCTCGAGGGATGGATCTGCGGGATAAAAACAGATCAGAAACGCTTAGGAAACAACCCTGCACAATCGAAGAACCTTGTGTTTAGCTAACTGGGTGACGGTTGCTAGCGCTTAGCTAGTCTGCATAAAACAGACCCGTCCAGTGAAACCGGTACCCCAAGTTTCTCTGTTCGGTCCCGCGGACGTCTCTTTAATCAAATTAAAGCCTGGTGCTTTTCGTCCTGCAAACCGCGAGCCACTGGGGGTCTTAAACCGTACTTCGCATGCGAAGGCTTTCCTGTAGTTCCGATCTCACACACTTCTCTCAAAAAATCTCCCGCTGTTGAGTCTGTGTGTGATGCCGAGCCTCCCAAACATTTTAGAAATTCGTAACCGGACGTTTTGTGCTCTCAAGAGAAGTATCTTCACACGCTGTTGATGGGCGCAGGGAGGTCCACTGACCTATACAGCATTTGAGCTTGAAAGGGTCCGGGGACTCTTTCGATGGAGCCTCATCCGGAGACCACCGAACTGGACTAAGACGAAAAACAGAGGGGGCACAAGGGCGACATCTTCATCGGCGATGTCTTCGGGACGGCTCCCTGCTTCTGCCGGGGGCGAGGCGCTCCTCTCCGGGAGCCGGACCCGTTCCTACGGCAGCCTGGTGCATTCAACCCGGTCGCCGGTGCGAGAGAGGCGGGTGGAGCACCAGGTGCAGCCCGGAGAGACGCTTCAGGGACTGGCGCTGAAGTACGGGGTGACGGTGAGTGCCACCTGGGGGTTGGTTTCTGAGATTCGCCTGAGCAGGAGAGTTCATGAGGTCATGTAACGTGGGCTCTGCGAAACTTTTGTGGCTCTTTTCGCGAAATATTTTCCCTCACTCGCATGAATAAATTCCTGATTCAAAGATTGTTTTGTGGTGTGTGTGTTTTTTTTTTTTGCAGATGGAGCAAATCAAGAGAGCCAATAGGCTGTACACCAACGACTCCATATTCCTGAAGAAGTCTCTCTCGATCCCGGTGCTGACGGACCTGGAGCCTCCGGGGGGCGGGGCGGGGCCGGCGGGCGAGGGGACGAGCCAATCGCCGGCCGGGGAGCGCGGAGAGGACCTGAAGGAGAACGGCGCGTCCGCCAATCAGACGAAAGGCGAGCCGGAGGCGCCCGGCACTGGGGTGAACTCGGAGCTGTCGGCCAGAGACTTCCTGGAGAGGATGGACTGCATGATCAGCCAGTCCAAACAGGCAGCCGTGAGGAAGATGCGGGAGGGAGAGAAGGGGTGAGTGCCGGCCGACTGGACAGCTGGGTGTCCCATGACGCTTCATTTAATTACAGTGGATGAATGATGCAGGCACAGTTCTTTCAAAGTGAATATCCATTCATCCATTTTTTTTTTAACCGCTCGCTTTTTCCTTGCAAGAGGCTGGGTTGGGGGGGAGGGGGGGAGCTGGTGACTGTCCCGGCATTCAGTGGGTGCAAGGCGGGGTACCCCCTGGATGGGACGCCAGTCCGTCACAGGGCAGGCAGACTCACACCAGGGCTGATTTTCCCACAAGGGAATTAATCCACCAGGAAACCCATCTGAACACAGAGAGAACATACAAACTCCACATAGACAGCACCCGAAGTCAGGAATTGAACCCAGGGCCCCAGTTCTGCAATTTAGCAATTGAACATTTTTAATCAAGACCTGGATGCCTAAAACAAATTTTACGGGTGACAAGCACAGAATTGTTAACTTGGTGAAAGTACTGTAAGTCGCCATGTTGTCGCAGACTCCTGGTCTCACCACAGGGGAGAGTCTGAGTCTGTGCAACATGTTGGCAGCCCTTCCTGCTCACTAGGCCCTGTAATGACTAGTACGCTGTGATGTACGAGCGAATAAGTACAGACTGTGCTGCAGACATTTCACTGCTGAAATGTTCCAACGAGATCTGCATGCAGAGTTAACAAGTAGTATTTGTAGCATAACCTTCTCGAAGGCGAGAGCCATATTTCTATTGGATTAAAGGAGATTGATTTCACAAGCCTGCTTGTTTACAGTGTAATAGGGCCTTTTCACCTTACTGGAAGTTTTGTTGCCTCGTTCTCAATCGCAGAACATGGCACTGCGCATACCTGGATCATTTTGTCTATTTTGTGGTGTAAATTGGAGGTTATACATTACTGTGTATATTTTACTTTCATTGTGGTTTGAAATGCCCTCATCGATGCTGATTCTTCCGAACCCCGAAATATAAAAATGGCGCTGCAGCTCCCCTTTAAATAACCTTGCATTAGCATGTACAGTAAGTGACGTTTAGGTAAATGCATTGCACTTTGTGAAACCTGAATTGGGCCTGAGTCCTGTGGGGCAGGAGTTTCTGTTTCCATTCCAGGGGTGGTGTGGTCATTTGTAGTGCTGCAGTAGACGTTAGAGTGAGCTGTGTTAATGCTCGACCTGCACGACAGACCCAGCAGAGGAAATACCCTGCGCCCCTGCTGGGGAGCCTTCCTCAGGGGTTCGCAGGCAACAGGCCGGAGTGCAGGTTGTGGGGTGCGACGAGAATTTATTTCCCTCTTTCAGGTTGTCAGAAGGATGTTATTGTTGGAAGCGGAGGGAGTCAGGAAGCAGAAGGAGACGACGAGGTGAAATGAGACCCCAAATAGACGCTGTCCCGGGGGCAGTCCTACAGAGGATTTAATTCCCTCCCCTTTGCTTTCACAGCCTGGTGGGACTTGAGCCGGCCGGCCCCCGGAGAGCCTCGGCCAACCGCAGGGCCGAGCTCCGGAGCTCCGCCTCTTCTCCCAGGGTGCACCAGGGGGCCACGCTGGGCCCCGTCCCGCTCACCATCACCAAGCGCGCCAACGGGCTGAGGGACAGGGAGGACGAGATCTTCCAGCTCTGACGCCACCCCCGCCCCCCCCCTCGCTCTTCTGTCGCCCCCCTCAGCACGGAGGTCCTGGGATACCGGTGCCGAGCGGATTTCTGACTTGTTTTTTGAGGGAAGGAGGGAAGGCTCACACTTGCATGAGCCCAGGTAGCTCGGCGGGCTAAACCGCTGTCTTGGATGCCAGAGATATGGGAAATAGAGAGCACAGGACTGAACCCCCCTCCAGCTTGGCAAAGACACACGACGAAGTGTGAAAGGAAGACGTTCGGAATAGATCAGCAGCAAACAAACACAACAGCAAACCAGCATGCCGCCTGACCCAGTCAGTCGTGCTGGAATCCTCCTTGTTAAAGTACATCAGAAAGACTCCTTGTAGGTTTTCTGTGTTGAAATAACTTTTTCGACTTATTTCGTGACTTCTGTACTTCAGGTCAGATATGTTCTGTAGTTCAGGAGGGTAGCTGCATGCGTAGTCTGCAAAGGAACAAGTAATAGGTTTACTCCATGCTGGAAAGAGAAGAGAGAAAACGCAACGTTTCGGCTGTGGAGCCTTCTTCAGGTTGTCTCCCCGAAGACGCCTGAAGACCCTTCTTCAGGCCAACTGAAGAAGACTTCACAGCCGAAACGTTGTGTTTTCTCTCTTCTCTTTTCAGCAGGGAATAAACCTCTTACTTGTTCCTTTGCAGATCTGTTCTGTGCTCTGCTGAGGCGATGCACTGATTTGTCAGCATGAATAACAGTTCGATGGCTATTGGCCGTCCTGCAGCCCTGCGGCCTCGCTCCCTGTCTGTGTCCTCGTGGGTCAGTACAGACCTGTGGCCAGAGCTGCAGCCTGTACAAGCCATTGAGCCAGATTCTTCAGCTCTGTGCTGCTTAAAGTAGCGTGTGGGTTGGTTTCGTTCCTGAGATGCAGGGTGTAAGATCACTTGCACTTCCTAGGATGGTGCAGGAGAACCGAACCGATCTCATTCATCTGTGCCCCGTCTGGGCTGGTTTGTGCTGTTGAAAGTAGCGACAGAGGTGCATTAATTCCGTGGATATCACACCTTCCTTCTTCCAGGAGGCGTGTGACTGTTGTTGCCATTGTAAGGGGGTGGTGAGTGACATCATACCCCCCAAAAAATAAGGTGCTGTGTTTCGGGAACGAAAGCACCTCAGATGCTACTTCCACTGGCAAAAACTGGCGCAGGCTGAGCGCTGCTGAATGCGGCGGGTTTCGTTGTTTGTGCTGTTTGTTTGGGGAGCTGTGTCATGTAACCGAGCTGTCGGGACGTCCCAAACCTGGATCCACTGGCCTGGGTTGGGTCCGGTCCAGTCTGAGGGACCCTCCTCCTGAGCCTGAGACGGTGCGCTTGAGCCCAGGAGGCTTGTGAGGGCTCGCACATGCACGGGTTTTAGGTACGTGTTTTTGGATATTGAGAGGCAGGAAAAAGACAGACTTTCAGGAAGTTAAAAAGACTGCATTTACCCTACGGGATGTTTAAACCCCAATGCAAAAATAAAGAAGAAAGCGATCGAATCTTTGCCCGGTAGTGGGGTCTTTTGATTTTCCTGTACAAGAAGCACTTCTGGAATCTTTTGAGATGGGAGCACTCTGCAAACGCCGGCAACTGGAAAGAATTGCTGTTCTTGGGTAAGTGTTGTTGTGTGGTATCGGTGACTGGATTCTCCTCAGATTGTGAATCCTAATTGATGTGAAATGAAGCGTCGCATGATAAGTGATCCCTAATCCCATTATCCAGCTCGGGTTTTGTACCTGGTGCTGCTCGCTATGCAGATCATGCCTGAGAGGCATACAGCATTAACAATTATAGCTATCTGTTTCTTCTCAAGGTCTGATCTTATAAAATCATTAGTTTCTTATGGCTGTTTTCCTTTAATTAATCTAATAGAAGCTTGCAGAACATCACATTATTCTTATTTCTCAAATCTCATTTGCCCTAATGAATTAAGTTAGTTCGTGCAGAGAAACTACTGCACATCCTGAATATAATATGTAATATTCCTTCACACCTTTTAGTGCCAAGTACCTTAATTTAAAATAATCACAGTGTAACAGTGTACTAATATCTGTCGATAAGAGCTTTACAAGACCGGCAATTAAAAAATTAAGTGGACAATGACTGAAAATCCCGAGTCATAATTATGCCTTCCTGCTGTGTTACATTGATCATAGTAGTAGATGCTGATCACAGAGTGAAGAGTTGTGTGTCCCTCCAGTGGCACATTGTGGGACTGCACCCTAAACATCAGTCTTCATTTTCTGACTTCCAAGGTCGTAAAGAATCTGGCAAGAATCTTTTTTGACATTATTTACTTTGTGTTATGACGCAAACACATTGTTATCGGTCTAAGATGAGGGAGACCTGTATTTAAGGGCCGTATTTTTATACCGTGTATCTTGAAAATATGCTGATGGTCAAAGAAAACCTCTTCTATATGAGACAAATTACTCTTTTTCGTAGCAGGTACACTGACATTTAATTGAACAGACATGAGATGGGTAGATTGTTATTATGATGATCAGGATTTGTCATTAAGAGGACCATTGACCTGAGATTTGCTTGTGAAAGTCATGGACTAGAAGTTTGTGAGGCCATCAATGGACTACAACCTGTACATAAATAAATAAATAATCCTGACTTTTATAGCACTTTTCTGGACACTCCACTCAAAGCGCTGTACAGGTAATGGGGATCCCCTCCATCACCACCAGTGTGCAGCCCCACCTGGATGATGCGACTGCAGCCATAGTGCGCCAGAACGCTCCCCACACACCAGCTCTCAGTGGGGAGGAGAGCAGAGTGATGAAGCCAGTTCAGAGA